CATGGTCTCCCAGACCCTCATTTATTTCCTAACTGTACAGGCTGCATGATAATTTAACCAGAGCAGAATTCTGCATCTATGGAGAACATCTTTATTAGGCAAGTGATTCCACCACTCGTACACACCACAAGGGACTAGTTTTCATAATCCCCATCCACAGAATAAGAAACAAGCCAATCATCAGTTTAGTTCCAATCATCAGTTTAGTTCCCTTCCCAAAAACATCTGTATGCAGAAAGTTAACTTTTCTGAACCATAAACACAGTGAAAATATGAAAAAAAACCCTCCTGTTCCAACAAAATTAGGACTTCTTTCCGGGTATGAATGATAAAGTCACATCCACAGCAATTTGGATTCCTAATGACACAGCATTCAACTGGAACTCAAAATCTCAGCTTTAGCTGGTAAGACCTGCTGTCATATTTCTCCTCCAATAATCCGTACAAAGGGAAATTAAGAGAGAGAGGTCTAAATCCTGCTCATACTTGTACCAATGAAATACAGAAACAACTATCATAGCTAATGAGGTTACTCAGCATTTTCCTTCTTAGTGCAGAAAACCCATAAATAGCAGTTCACTTAATCAGCTATTTAATATTTTAGCTGCACGCAGGTATTATGGGTATTATACACATAATCTTAAATCCACTTTATCTTTAAAATGTTCCTCCAAGTTAACAGATGTGCAATTACTTGCACTTTACAGATAAAGAACAGACATAAGCATAGTCTCAAATGAATTGTCCAAGCCCGTGGAAAAACTTCTCATGGAGCAAGACACGAAATTAAATCTCTCAAATTTCTGCCTCGCATGGCTCCGAGAAACCTTATTTCTTTGTCATCACAGCCATGCTGATTCTATCCTTCCTCAAAGCAAGGAGCACCTCTAAGGATCTGATTGCATGAGGACCTGTTTGAAATTCAAGCCAAGTTTGCATCCACCTCATCTGCAAGACAGGAGCATATTTAACATTCCTCCATTTTTCTTCCAATGCCAGGTTCAAGTAAATAAATAAATAACAGATTTAGCGTAGAAAGCCAGGCAGCTATCATATAAAGGCATGAAAATAAAGACCTACCTAATGTGAATGAGGATTCAGCAGTGTGAAAATATTTGCTTTTAGCAAAGATATAACGACAGCACCGGTCCCAAATGACTACAGAGAGAAAAGGCACAACATCATCCACGCCTCCGTGTTTCAAATCAAGCAAACTTCACTCTTCTTTCACCTCAAAAGGAGACGGTAAAGTTCTGCGAGAAATTAGGCTAGCCCTAAATAATTACATATATCCCTAGTAACCCAGCTCCTGCATTTAGCGTCAGCACTTAAATTACCCCTCCTAATAAAAGTTATTTAATCTATACCCGATAGCAGGCCCTGCAGAAAAGGCAGCTCCTGAGATGGAGCCCGTGTCGGCGGCTCGGCGCAGGGACCCAAACCCTCCGGCCGGGCTCGGCTCCCGGCAGGCGCCATCGCCAGCCCAGCACCCACTCGCAGCCCGTGGCACCAGCACGTTCCTTGGCTCTCCCCTCCCGAGAGCCCCCTGAGCTCATTCCTGAACCTGCGCCTCAGCGTACGGCACGGGCTTCAGACTGGGGTAAGTGTAACTACCGGCTTTCACGCTGATTTTGCAAATGGCTTTGGTGCTGGTTATCATCTTTCCCACGCTGGCGGTAGGTGAAATACCTGGCAGGTAACTCGAGCTCTGGCTGCCACACGCTTTTCCCTGAGCTGGATTTGAGCTTGTTTCCTCAAAGACTGACAAGAACTTTGTCGCCTGTTCCAGAAAATTACATTTTAAGGTGACACTGTAGGACCCGCACGTTCTAGAGGAGCGTAATCATACGAAACACCTGCTCAACACACACCTTTCCCCCGCGCACGGCGTTCACCGTGAGCAGTCCTCCAGCCAAAACCCCTGCAGCTGCACGGACGTGCCCCGGGCTGCCAGCCAGGAGGGCACGGGCTGACGGTCCCACGCCAGCACAGGAACCACATCTCAGTCCCTCAGCCGTGCCCTGGCTGCTCACGTTCTCCCAGAAGCTGAATGTAAAACGGAAGGGGGGTGGGGAGGAAGAAAAAAAAATAAAATAAAAAAAAAAAGGCAAAACCTTAAGTCTGCAATACCAGGCTGTGCAAGAAGATTAACATTTATAAATATGCATAGATACTTCCCCAAATTTAGTATGAAATTAGCCGTGTGGAAGAAGGACCCCGTACTGTATTTCTCCACAGAGAATACCACTAAAAAATAGATCTCATTTACCACTCACTCCAGAAGTCCAAGATGGGACTTCCATCCAGTGTTAGGGGAACGAACCCCCGCAGCCCTGAGCAGTGCTCACTCCTCCTTGACAAACACCTGAAGAAAAAGGCAATCCGGGAAGGTAGGACGCTCCCCAGAGAGAAATGAATTTCTAATCTGAAAAAATAATAATGAATTGTCTCTTTCCATCTTTCCATGTTGAAGGCAGGCCCCTCTCTCACTTCTCAAGCACCGTTTTGACACTACGTTTCATTATGCAACAGTCGGGCTCAGCATTTTTTAAAGGCTGAAAAATTGGCAAATGGGATGATGAAGCGTTTCCATTTTCTGAGTGTACTTCCTTTTATATGTTTTTACAGTAACATGAAGCATGACAATCAGGAAACACATTATTTTTCAGAAAACATGACTGAAAACATCCCTACATACACCAATAGTGTCAGCAGTTATACATGGACAGGACAAGCAGGAATCTGGTCCACAACTGGAAAGTCCCTTCTGATTCTTCAAAAATCGACAGAAAAATGGGGTACAGTTGCCTCGCTTTATAAACGGGGCACACGTGTAATGCTGTGCAAGAACCACCAGCCCTGGGACAACAGCCTCTAAATGTAATTATGGAGAAGATAATAAGGTTGTTTTAACTGCTTCTTCTGTCAGAGGGCTTTTCCTTTCAAGTCTCTAAGGTTATTTAGCAATAGTATTTTCCTCTAGCAAACATGGTCTGCACGTCCTGGGACGTAGACTGCACAGCTCACATCTTCAGCTTGTGAAAAAGTAACAGCATCTGCTACCACTGATCTATTTGCTTCTGTTGAAGTACCAAGCGGATTTAAAATGTGGTCACCATACCAGGCAATTTTTCCCATGCCTGTATACAGGCTGTGGGCAAGAACAAATTTATTTTGGTACAGAGAAAACCACAGAGGTCCTGGAATACAGCAAGTCAGCGCTGCTGAAAAGAAAAGGAGCGAAAGGAAAGCAGCGTGGTGCTTGTTGTATCAACAAGCAAGATGATACTTAAGTTCTGCCCGCCTATTTCTCTGGGGAAAAAAAAAAAAAAAAAAGCCTCTTGTAAAAAACCCAGAGAGATCATAAACTGCGATTTAAACCGTGCTATCAGCTCACTCCTTGCAGTGCTGCGGGGAGCGTGCAGCCCCTGTCCCAGCGCGGAGCGCGTACCGGGACGGCAGAGCAGCGGGCAAAGGCGAAAGCGAGCCCCTGGGCACCCTCTTCTAGGGATCAGTGGTGAATCTGCAAAGATAAGGTACAAGGTACTGAGGGAGGAGGGCAAGCAGAGTACCTGGACAGGTAGCAGACAGGGAGAGCGACTTAGCTGCCCTCTGCTGACTGTCTGATTTGTTGAACACTCCTCTGATCCAGTCCTGCACAGCTAAACTGCGATTTAACAGGAGAGGATTTCTGTGAATTCATCTCCACGCTTCCACACTGATGTTTACGTGACAGCCGGGTCCATAAGGATTTTTTTACCCACTGCCGGGCTCTATCAGCAGAGCCCTGTGCAGAGACAGCAAAGCTGGCACAAACAAGGTGCTCCAGCCGCCGCAGCAGCATCCATTCATTGGTGCAATGGTCTGCTCCAGCTAATTAACTCTAAAAAGATGTCCAGGACTTGAGCCAGTATTTCTGCTGCATCGTGCTATGTAGATGTACCAACTTGTTTAGCGCTTCGCTCGGGTCCGCGCTGCGGCGCGGTGCACGTTCAGCCCAGGCAGCAGCGGGGCATTTCACGCACGGGCTCGCCCAGCCGGTCTGATCTGCCGCTTCAAATCAGGGGTCCCCTTCGGTAAATCCAAAGATCAATAATCCCCATCGATGCTACTGATGGTGAAGATAGTGCCACTACAGACAAACTACACGGTCTGCAACCGGGCTGAGCGAGTTTCATGCTGTGGTGAGAAGCATTTATTAAACAGCAACGCTGCTGAAATCCTCAAAAGGAAAGGGGACTGACCCACCGCTTCTCAACTCGGACAAATTCTTATTCCTCTTATGACAGCTTCTGTCTGTCAGATGGGTCTGATTAAATACACATGACCTATTTAAGTTTGGTGGGTTTTTTTTTTTTTTTTTAAATGAAAAACATCTCTGAAAAGCCCTCTGTGAAATGATAAAGTGGTTTGAGAGGAGAAAAGATGGGATTTAAGTTTCAAGAACATTATCACGTTTGTCAATCTTTGCTGCTCCATCAAAGCACTTTTAACTTGCACCCGTTTTATTCAGCATTTAAAAGCAAACGGGAGCATCTATTCATTTCGGTATGTTAAAACACTTTTCCTCCAAATAAAATGCAGCTATGTAGCTTTAAACAAGCACTTCGGCGAAACCCCCAACGTATCAGCATCACCCACTCTGCATCTGCTCCCAGCGTTTCTGCTTTAAGTAGCGCAACTGGAAAACCGGGGCGCTCAGCAACGACCAGCACTGCGTGTACCGCTTCCAAATAAACCTATTATTGCTGAATTCACGCGTAGAGGGGAACTGGGATTAACCGCAGATCCTCAGTGAGGCAGTACGGCTGCAAATGCCCTGTTTTCCCTCACACACACACACACACACACACACACACCCACCCCCCAGCCTTCCCTCTGCGCGCACCGAGCAGCCGCCGCGCTGCGCCCCTCAGCCGCCCCCCCGGCCCGGCCCGGCCCCCCGGCTCCTCCCCGCCGCCTCAGCCCGCTCCCGCCCGGCTCGGGGACGCCCGCCGGTCCCGCTCAACAAGTTCTCCCCTCCTCCTTCCTTCCCCACACACACACCCCGGCTCCCCCGCCCTCCCCAGCCGGGCGCCGCAGCCGAGGAGGGCAGCGGCGGGAAGCGTGAGGCGGCGGCTGCCTCTAGCGAGCGCCGGGGCGGCCGCAGCTGAGCGCCCGGCGGGCGGGAGGGCGAAGGCGGCGGGCGGCGCGGCGGCTCCGGCGGGCGGCAGATGAGCGACCGGCGCGGATTTCCTGACGGCCAGCTCGCCCCGGCGGAGGGAAGGAGATGCAGCGCAAGGGGAGCGCCCAGACCGCCACTTCTGCCTGAGGAAGCGTAAGGTAAGCCCCGCCGCCGCCCTCACAGCCCTCGGGCTGCCCTCGGCTCCCTCCCGCCCCCCGCCCGGCCGCCCCCTTCCCTTGAGCGAGGAGACCTAAAAACGCCCGGTTCCCTGTTTTTTTTTCCTGAGGAAAACTTCGTGGGGATGAGCATAAAGCACCGCGCTGGGCGCCAGCGGGAGCGTTATGCAATGGTGTATCTCTGCCTGCCTGGGAACAGCTATTGCATTCAATAACTTTCATGACAGATAAGGAGACAATATCACTATACGTGTCCAAACCGCTACTTTCTTCTAGAAAGATACCACCGTTTCTTCTAATGCTACCTGGTAGGGGAGAGTTGTAGGCTGGAGGATTTGTGGGAGATGCACAAAGTCCTTCAGTTTTCCTCATGATTGATTGTGAGGAAGTACCACTGCTTATTAACTTGAGCGCTGGGAAGTCCAAACGCAGTCCTAATGAGGTGTCCATACAACACGGCCATGGAAGAACATCGGGCACGTTCATCGGGTAACTTGCAGCAGAGCACTTCATTAAAACCCCGAAATCCTCATCAGGGGCTGAAGCTGCTGCTGTTCTGTGAACTGTCATTATTGAGGAGCCGTGGTTCTCCTGATTTAATACACCACTCCACACACACACACATCCCCCCCAGTCCCCTGTCACCATCATCAAACACGTTTAAATTGGAGAGGCTGTGAAAATGCAGTAGGCAAATGGGACAGAAGGTAGCAAAGGATCCAGCACCAAAGTCATAGTCCTGGACCTTGCATCTTGCAAGGCATCCAAAGCTTCCCGCTTTGCATTTCCATCTTGCCTTCCTATAGCTAGTAAAATCCCTCTCCTGTGACCTCAACGTCCCTACTTAATGCCATGTTTACCCAGTTACGGCAGCGAGGGGGGTGCAGGACTGCAGTTAGCTTGGATCTGTTTGGGGGAGGCGGGGGGGGGCGGCCAGCCCTAGCAGAAGAGGGACATCTTGTAATGTTGAAAGCAAAGGATATGGGCTCAGCTTATGTCACCATCTCCCGAGGGGTCTGTCCCACAGAGGCTGTGCCCCCCTCGCTGCCACGACTCAGAATAGGTAACGGAGCAGTTTCGTTTGACCTTGTGTGTCTAAGCAGCTAAAATCCCGCACAAACACCACTGTGGAAAATTTAACTCATTGGGCTCTATGGTCGGGAAGTTTGGAAAGACCTGTTTTTCCAACCTCCGAGAACCATTATTTTTCTGCTGAATGCTAGAAAGTGGTAACAAAAAAAAACAAAACAGTCACAGGTCATGTCTAAGAAACTGGGAATTTATTCCCTCGGCTTAAGTGTTTCATCGTGATTACTGTTCATATTTACAGTGCTGTCAGGAATGCTGCATGTATCAAGGTTAAAATCTAGCTGCTAGATGAAAAACTACTAGCTAAAAAAAATAATCACATGACATGTAACTGTCCTAGCCCTGTACTCAGAATAATTTAATGTAAAATTTCAAGCAAACATATCTATAGTAAAAATACGACAAGCATGGAGAGTAACATATTTCCTTACTTTTGCTGTGAAGCCTCTTGGTGTTCTACCAGTCTGCTCCTGCCTGCCTTCCTTTACTACAATAATACGGTTCTCTTCAAGTACAAATAACAGTTCTAAGTTAAAAGCTGTTTTCTTTTCTAGCATTATAAATGCATATGAGCAGTTCAGATGAAAATATCTCAGTGCTCAGATATTACTAATTTATCATCTGGGGGTTTATATTCTTCTATACAGTGATAGCATACAGTCATTGATTTCAACAGAAATACATAATGTATATTGCTAATCCACATACTCATATTGAGCAGTTGTAAAATAAAATTACTGCCCCAGAGTTAAAGGTGCTGTTGCATTTGAAGCATACTGCCTTCACAGAATGAGCTCACTGGGGAAGGCTGATACTAAATAAGCTTGCTTTTTTTTTTTTTTTTTTTTGTAAGGACATCATGATGCCCTTGATGAAAAATATGTGTTCTTTAGGACTCCATAATTATTAACGATGTATATTTTTAACAAGATGCTCAAAATAATTCTAATCTTGAATGAAATCAGTGCCTTTCCCCCAGACTGACACATAAAAAACCAGCTGGGCAACAGCACCACAAAAGAAAGTATTAGTTACTTATCAAGAGGGACAGCACTTAACATTCAATGCACCCTTCTGCTAATTAAGCTCACAAACAAGTAGCTTCTAAGAGCATCGCTGCATTTTTTTTTCCCCAGTTAACTGTTTCACTGACAGAAGCATTTTTGCATGGGAGATGCACAGCATATATAATTAATTCGGAGGGGGGGAGGGGGGAGAAAGAGTAGCTAAGTTCAGTGGAGATTACCATATAGAAGGAAAATACAACTAAGAAGCCCCCGAGCCTGCCCAAGTGCCGAATGACAGAGCGTGCGTCGTCTTCCTGACATGCACTACCAGGGACCGAACACTATTGGTCACCACAACCCACCGTTCCGCTACTTGGAAATCCAAACTCAACAACAGATTGTACAAATGACAACGAGATATTAACAGTGAGGGTTTGTTTATCCTGTTCTGGAGAATTTAAAAGCAAACTTAGCAATGCCAGTCCTTTGCAGTGACCGATGTGGTAGTGGAAGCCAGGGAAACGTATTAGCTTGCCAAAAATCTGTGCTAAAAACATAAGGATACCTCCACAAAGCTACTGAGCTGTGATATCTCAAGACGGCCCCTTATCCAACCATACTTATCTCGGACAGAGAGAATTGAGGATGTGTAGTCACATAATTCATGCATACTTGAGGAAATTACAGTAAATTTAGAATATTTGAGAACATAAAAAATTCACATGCTTGTTTAAACAAGCTATTAAAAAGGTCATATATTCTGCTTTATGACAGCCACTATTTAAAGAACTGCTGAAGATTTGTGTAAGATATTAAACATGTAAGCAACAAATCTATTTTATAGCAAAATACTCCCTTATATTTTTATTAATTAGTTTGAAAATTAAATAGGTTTAAGGAAGTAAGATCACAAGCATATTTTAAGGATTAAAAAATAAAAACCTCAGAGTGGTGAATTCAGTGGGAGTTCCATATTTAGCCTTATGAAGATCAGTGCTTGATTTTATTCTGCTCAGAAAATACTGTATAACCCATGGACAGACACAGGTACGACTCACTAGGTATCGACGTTCAATTCTAAATTATTATTGACCACACAGAATGTGATCAGAGCATTCTCTTATTATAGTGGCACATCCCTACTTTGGCATCTACTTAATACAATTTTACTATATTCAGGCAGAAAACATGATCCCGCAATACTTTTAAAACCAGTTCGACTTGTTTATACCTTTGCACAACACAGTGTCATGGTGATCAGTGCCTTAAAATTCACCTGCTTTCCAGTTACACATATAAGCACAAGTCTCATAGGCAAAGATAATTGGTAGCAAAAATAGCAATTCACTGATCAAACAGCAACTCTTGGTGTCCTCCTCTTTGCCTGTTTTTTTTTTTTTCCCTTCAGTGGTAGAAAGTCACCGGGCCTGATTTTACTCCAGCAGTAAGTGTTTCCAGCAAAATCCTCTGATTTCATTACAGAGGAGTGTAGAAGAATAAGGGCCTTTTTCACAGTCTGAATTCAACAGAGATGGATGTAAAAGCCCTGGGACTGAAGGTCTCCAAATCCTTTGATATTTGGGTGCAGATCTGAACAACTTAATCTATCATTACAAGAGGAGATTTTTGTCCTTGCGGGGAAGTGCTAGAGCTCTACCACCTGTCAGATTCCCCAGTCTTTGCACATCGCCGATCACTCAGCTCATATGAAAAAAGTGTGTTAAACATCTCACAAAAGCTATGTAGTTATGGCCAAATATATCTGAGGCTGCAGCAACTAAAAAAGAAAGACTGGAGTAGTCATTTGTAACCAGTAAAACGCCTGCCCACAGTGTGCTCATGTAGACGTTACAAATTCAACTCTATGGCAAAATTGCAGACAAATTACATGGAAATTTCTAATACTTGAAATGAGACCTTAGTATTAATTTTCAATGCAAGAAACTACAACTAGTAAAATAGTAATATTTGAATACTCAGCAGCAAAGCAAACCAAAGTGTTCACTCATAGTCCAGTACTTGATGTTCTGGAGAGCAGAACGGATTAATTGGCCAGTGACACACAAAAAGGACCATTTCGCTAGAAGACTACAACAGTCTTAGACAAACCCTTCACTGCACTGGCTTTTCCTGCAGGAACACTACCAGTTTGGTTTCTAAAATCCTCATCTGACACCGGAGTTTCATTAAACAAGCTAAAAGTGCAGTTATAGGGTGGACTAAAGAACATGTAAGCATGTGGCTTTTGCACCTGGTTTAACAAGATCTGCAGATACCGCACACGGCCTGGCACGCTGACTGCTTAACAGCAAATGAGCGTTGTGGAAGCCCCCTGTAAACTTTTTTTCTAGATGTGCTGTCTGCCTCAACCATATGGTCCTTTTTCAGCATCAGTTTTGTGTGCTGAAGAATGCTTTCTCCCATATTGATTTCTACTTGGACATCCTGCTCCTTCAGATGCAAAGCTGAAGTCTTCTGCCCATCTCCAGAGAGACCATTAACTTTTTTTTTTTTAGCAGTCTACACCATCCAAGACTTTTTCTTCTATCTGTATTTCCTTTTATTTCCATTTTACCTGCTAAAGGAATTCCTTATTATTTGGACTGAAATAATACTGGCAAAATCCCAACCTTAACTTCTGTTTATGACATCCATAGGGAAGAGAAGCAAATGGTTTGTGTTATTTTTGCCTGTCCATAATTGCTATAGCATGCCTGTAAATAAAGCCCACATAGTTACAAAATTAAACCATTTTAAAAACAAAAGCAAAGGAAGATCATTCCATATGGTCTAAGTGAGGAGGAAGTGTCAAAAGCTAACAAAGAAGGATTTACTTGTTTTGTGCTTTTCCCCACCTTCCCTGCTTGTTTTATGCCTGCCCTTCCT